ACAGTAGTCTGAGTAGAAGATTCAGATGCCATGATTGGCTGAGGGTTGACAGAAGTCACCCATGTCAAATCTGTCTGACACTGAATTGATGCAGTCGATGTTGACACAGTGCGTGTTTTGGTCACAGATGCATATGTCTCAGTCTGTTCATTACTTGGCACAAGTTTCTTTGCTTCCATATAAGTTATGTTTCTTGTGCATTTTAGTTTGTTGATTTCCATTTCTCTTTTCCAGACTGGACAAGATTTACTGGATGAAGAGTGAGACCCAGAACAGTTCTTACATTTTTTAAAATCATTGGTACATTCATCTGTAACATGAGTGGTTTCACTACAGTGTGCACATGTGACATTATTTTTGCAGAAATTTACACCATGGCCGAATTGTTGACATTTAAAACACCTCAAGGGGTTTGGAATATACATTTCGACATCAATTTTACAATATCCTGCTTTGACTGATTTGGGTGCTGTTGGAGATGAAAATGAAAACAGGTACGTATTTGTTTTGATTGTTTCGGTACCCTGACGCCTGGTAAACCTTTTAACAAAGATAACTCCTTGGTCTTTCATTTCATAGACAATATCCAGTTCAGACATATCTTCAAAGAGTCTGTCGCGATCTCTTATGATGCCTCTGCTAGTGTTGAGAGATCTGTGTGGTGAAACATTGACAGGTACTCCAACAAGTTCTTCAATTGACAACAAGTTTGTTGTTTGTTGTTTTTTAGCACATTCGATAAGGATTGATCCGGTCCTCAGCCTTTGATATTTTTAACATCACCTGCTATCCCTTGAATACCCTTAGCAACCGCAAAAGGGTTCAGTTTAATTGGGGTCTTGTCAGGCGTTTCCAGTACTAGGAATCTAGGCCAATATTCCACTGATTGTGAATTGCGAGGAACATCATCAGTATCATAATCATTCTCAAGCGTCTCGCTTTGATTTTTAAGGGAGTTTGAAAAGCCATGTTTATATGAATACAGTTTCATCATCCCTACTCCCCACCCACCACCGAGTGCCAATAAAGGCAGTATCCTAGTGCCTGTGGATGTCCAACAGACAGATACTAGGGATATAGGGATGATATACACCAGTAGTAAATACCACCAGTTTGGCCCATGAGCCATCGCCTTCTGGCACCAGCATCTAGGCAAATTTTCTCAAATTTGAAAATCCATGTATTATATATTACATAAACAAAAGTGAAACAGGTCAATAATGTATCCAAAAACCAAGCCAAATATTGACAGAGCAATGAAATTTAAGTGCTCAGGGCTCGGCATGACCAGCCGATTGATTGAACCGGGCCCATTCAACCACCCGTCTAGGTGAAGTAAGGGGCGAAGTGGTGTGTTGGGCAAAGGAACACTGTTCCTGGAACCAGTGCCCTCAACCACCAGCCTCCCGTCCTCCACCGACACAGGGGCGCAACCCACGGCAAACGGGTTGGTGGACCAAAATATACCCCCCGGGTCCACAACGGGGGATTGAAAGGCGCTTTGCGTGACCCAGCACCCACCACGAGGAGGTGGCCTTTCATGGGTGCCTGACGTCAACTGAAAGGGGGTGGGTAGTGTCTCCAAAACAAGCCCTTTCAGCAAACATGAAGGGGAGTCACTTGAAAAAGCGATTATAGTTTAAAATTGCTTTTTTGTGCAGTTTAATATCTAAGTTTGACCTTTACCAACATACAACATGTTTTTGCATATTTTGTTTCAATTGGTGTAGGGGGATTCCCGCCAATACACCTTGATATAATATATTGGATCAAAATCTATTAATTCTTTCCTAAGTTCGCGGCTACCAAGCTTGGCATGTGCAAAACTGTTACACCTTCGCTGTGACCTTTAAAATGACCTCAAGGTCACTAAATTCAAGTGGTGTCGGTAAATCTCGTCAAAATAAACCTTGGTACCAAATTGGAACAAAATCCATCATTTCTCTCTCGAGTTCTTTCAGTAAACCGAAGGGGGAGTCATTTGAACAAGCGATTGTAGTTTTGAAATTGCTGTTTTGTGCAGTTTAATATCTAAGTTTGATTCTAGCCGACCTCTACCAATCTCAAACATACAAAAATGTTTCGTGCATATTTTGTTTCCTGAAGTTTAATTTGTGATGCATTTCATTGCTAGTCAGCTAGGCTATTCCATTTGTCCTAACCACAACATACGGAGACATATCATTTAGCAGACCGGCTGCTGTACTCTGGAATTGATTACCTGAAAATGTCAGGAAATCGGAAAATATCAACAGTTTCCGATCTTGTCGCAAAACCATCCTCTTCAAACGAGCATTCGACTAAGCGCACATGAGCAGGACTCTGGATATGTAGCGCTATACAAATGTCTAATTTGATTTGATTTGATTTGATATACCCGTTAGAAACCCACCCCCACCCCACCTCACTTTTTATTTATACATATCAAAACCTCAAAAGATATTTGCGAAATGACATGATACAGAGGACAGTCAGAGATTTTATATCGATTACATATCAGGACGAATATCATTTTCGTCATCTGGCTAACATTTTCCAATTCTTTCTTGGGTTATTGCGCTAACAATCTTTATATTGGCAAAACCCTCAGATTTTTGCTGTGACCTTGAAAATTATCTCAAGGTCACTCCATTTCACTTGTGTCGGTGAATCTCGCCAATATACCTTGGTACCAAGTTTGAACAAAATCCATCAATTCTTTCTTGAGTTATCGCCCTAACAAGCTTATTTGATGTATGAAATGCAACGAAAAACAAACACCCGCGTATTTACGAGTGATTAAAACTGTTATTACAATTTACGCAAATATTTATTACATTTTACCGCAACGAAAATTATTACAATTTACGTCAATTTTTATTACAATTTGCGTATTACAATTAACGTCAATTTTTATTACAATTTACGTTTTTATTACAATTTACGTCAAGTTTATTACAATTTGCTGCAAGTATTACAATTTGCGTTTTTATTACAATTTACGTCAAGTTTATTACAATTTGCTGCAAGTATTACAACTTGCGTTTTTATTACAATTTACGTCGCAACACTGTCTGGCAGCAGTATGGTTTGCATTGACCCAGGTCTCTTCCAGATATATAGGTTCGAATCCATCCTCTCTTGCCTGCTTAATATCTCTCAGATAGTTACACCTTATTTTCACAATATCAGATCTCTCACACATTACAAGTTTCTGGTTTGCTACCTTCTTGTACTTGTATCCAAATTTGAGCAGTAGTTTGCTTAACATAAACCTAGAAACATTAATGTCGTGATCCTCTGCAAGGATGTGTTTTAACTTTCTTGTGGACAGGTGTTCATTTCTAGCAAATGACATCTCTGATGACCCTGATGTCAAAAGAATCTAACGTTGGATGCCTACCTTTTTGTACAAGGTTTTGTTTATTGGTTGTTGGTTTATTTTTCACAATTTTTAGCACGATGTTCTTTTTCATGCCAAGAGCAAAAGTTGTACGTTTCATGTAATCCGACACATTATAAATCTGTTTGCTACGTTTGCTCTCTTTTTAAAAAAAATTCAACACATTTCTAATTAAACGTTTAGCATCATCTGAATAAGCTTTCATGATGACAGCTAGAAGTAGTCAATGTGAATTCAACACATTTCTAATTAAACGTTTAGCATCATCTGAATAAGCTTTCATGATGACAGCTAGAAGTAGTCAATGTGAATGATCCAAACGGTCTATCACTGTGCAGTGCACAGGTAACTATCATGAACTGAACGTGCATTTACCTTTATGACCCATCACTGCCGCTGTTACAGGTCATTGACTCCCTCCCTCTGCAAGCATTCTGCGTTCTGCTGTTTATTTTGTTGACAGTTACAAAGACAGATTCTTTAATACAAATGAATAAAATCTGTGATTTACAGTGTGATTAGGTTGTCTGACAAAACATCCACTTGCACAGTTTGAGATCGATTGGATCATTGGATGATGAGATATTTACAAAAAACCGGGTCCACATGCATTTCAGGCCAAACTATACCTGCCAAGTGCGTGGAACCTCTTGATTAACTTTTGATGAACTTTAGATAAATGGATAAAAAAGCCTGCTATTCACTTTTGTGTAATTAGCAGTCGTTCTGATTTGACAATTCAACTTTCAACTCTGTTGTGAATTGACAATTCAACTTTCAACTCTATTATCTAGCATGAATTTATCATCATTATGTAATTAACACTTAACTTCACTTATACTGTACTCACCCTTGTGTACTGTGATGTCACTTGCATTGTGACGTCATAACTCAGTTACACAACAATAGAACAGCGCGCCAGTCAGCCCTGTGCGAGGATTCTTAATTTAGGTCACCGACGCCGTCGTTTGTTTTCTGCCTTAAATTAATCGTAATTATCCTAAGAAAGTATTGAATTTGGCATCTTAGAAAAGAAATACAGTTCGCTCTACCAGCATGTATAGTGTAATAAAACACACTTTCGCCCTGAAGTAATATATCGTTAAAGCACTCGGACTCGTACTTTATAAACTATAATAGTTCAGAGAGAAAGTGTGTGTGGTAGAGCGAACTGTATTTCTTAAATAAAGAGTGATTTTGGATGGTAAATAGAATCTCACCCTCGTGTCTTCTGATATCAAATATACCAACACTCGTTGATAAAAGTAAATTTATCAACTCGTGTTGAAATAATTGATATCAGAAGACACTTGGGTGAGATTTGCATAGAGTAACAAAAAACCCGGTGCTGGATACCTTATATCTTATATTTTATATCTGATAGAACTGATGGGAATAGAGTGAATAACAAACCCGGTGCTGGGTAACTATTATTTTATATCAGATAGAACTGATGGGCATAGAGTAACAAACCCAGTGCTGGATGACTTATATCTTATATTTTATATCTGATAGAACTGATGGGCATAGAGTAACAAACCCAGTGCTGGATGACTTATATCTTATATTTTATATCTGATAGAACTGATGGGCAAAGAGCGAATAACAAATCTGGTGCTGGGTAACTATTATTTTATATCAGATAGAACTGATGGGCATAGAGTAACAAACCCAGTGCTGGATGACTTATATCTTATATTTTATATCTGATAGAACTGATGGGCAAAGAGTGAATAACAAACCTGGTGCTGGGTAACTATTATTTTATATCAGATAGAACTGATGGGCATAGAGCAACAAACCTGGTGCTGGATAACTTATATCTTATATTTTATATCTGATAGAACTGATGGGCATAGAGAGAATAACAAACCCAGTGCTTGGTAACTATTATTTTATATCAGATAGAACTGATGGGCATAGAGTAACAAACCCGGTGCTGGATAACTTATATCTCATACTTTATATCTGATAGAACTGATGGGCAAAGAGTGAATAACGAACCCGGTGCTGAATGACTTTTATCTCATATTTTATATCTGATAGAACTGATGGGCAAAGAGTAAATAACAAACCCGGTGCTGGATAACTTTTATCTTATATTTTATATCTGATAGAACTGGTGGGCAAAGAGTGAATAACAAACCTGGTGCTGGATAACTTATATCTCATATTTTATATCTGATATAACTGATGGGCATAGAGTGAATAACGAACCCGGTGCTGGATACCTTATATCTCATATTTTATATCTGATAGAACTGATGGGCATAGAGTGAATAACAAACCCGGTGCTGGATAACTTATATCTCATATTTTATATCTGATAGAACTGATGGGCATAGAGTGAATAACAAACCTGGTGCTGGATACCATATATCTTATATTATATATCTGATAGAACTGATGGGCGTAGAGTGAATAACGAACCCGGTGCTGGATACCTTATATCTCATATTTTATATCTGATAGAACTGATGGGCAAAGAGTGAATAACAAACCCGGTGCTGGATACCTTATATCTCATATTTTATATCTGATAGAACTGGTGGGCATAGAGTGAATAACAAACCCGGTGCTGGATAACTTATATCTCATATTTTATATCTGATAGAACTGGTGGGCAAAGAGTGAATAACAAACCTGGTGCTGGATAACTTATATCTCATATTTTATATCTGATAGAACTGATGGGGATAGAGTGAATAACGAACCCGGTGCTGGATAACTTATATTTTATATCTGCAAGATTACGGTGATGCATCAGTGACCGGCATCAGTGTAATCTAGCTTCTTGGAGGAAAATCCATTTTTCAGACGTGAGTCGTTTTTTGCTGTTTGTTAATGATCGAAGGACGCTTGTATGGCGGTAGAGGAACGGGGCACGTCCTGAAAGGAACATCCTGGAAGAAGTTCCATTCGGCGCAGGATTATTGATGGTATGGGGCTGTGTGTCGTATGACTGCAAACTTCAGCTTGTCACAGTGAGAGGAAATGTGAATGGACAAAGATACCAAGAGGAAATCTTGAGGAGGCTTATAGTGCCTCAGTTTGATAATCATCCCCTATTAACAAGGCCAATCTTTATGGATGACAACGCCAGGCCACATCGTGCACCCGCAGTCATTGATTTCCTGCATCAAGAAGCTAAATTAAAACCGTTCCACGGCCAGCCAGAAGCCCTGATTTGAACCCCATCGAACATGTTTGGGACATTCTGAGGTGTAAAGTTCGTCAAAGAGATCCGCTAGTCCAGAGTATTAGACCGAAACTTACACCAAGAATATAACTGGTTTCCCCAACATCGGATTCAGCGTCTTGTGCACTCAATGTTCAAAACGTCATCCAGGTGGGCGGGGTTACACAAAGATACTGACTGGGTCTTCTGTTTCTGAAACGAGAGACCTTTTTTGTGGATTGGATTATTGAATTAGGTCTATGCATCGTGTTACCCATTTGGTTTGACCATACTTGTATTAACACATTATGTTAAAAAAATATATCTTAATTTCAGTTTTATTACAGGACCCATGTTTAATCAAATTACACTATTCAGATTCTTTGTTTTGGGCTTTTGCGTTAATGAAAAGTCTTTTCAGCACTTTGGCTACAAAATATTTTCTTGTGAAGACGCACATGACATATAATAAACTGTGATTAAATATAGGTACTGTCATAAAACATGGGTGTTGCGATACTTTTTCCATCTGTACATATTTTAACATTACGCATTTAACTGGAAATAGATTTCTGTCCATCACAGTATACAACTTTACCTTCAAGATACACCCGAGTCTATACATGATGAATAAGAAACATATCCTTTGGAAAATGGGCATCAGTACCCTCTAAAGCTGAATGTATTAAACCTTGCAGTGTTTGAGCATTCCATATAATGTAGAGAGCCAGTAGGTTTTAACGCCGTTTTGAACATTATTGTAGTTATATCACAACGTCAACTTGAGGCGGTAGGAGATGCACTTTGGTAAAAACCACGAGCAGGAAGATGGTTCTGACATTCCAGCAATGTAATTGATCATTGGTTTCTTGTCTGTTCAGGGCGGTGGGGTAGCCTAGTGGTTAAAGCTTCGCTCGTCACGCTGAAGACCTGGGTTCGATTCCCCACATGGGTACAATGTGTAAATGCCATTTCTGGTGTCCCCCGCCGTGTTATTGCTGGAATATTGCTAAAAGCAGCATAAAACTAAACTCACATTATATTCAAGTGAGAGTCATAATAACCAATAAAAGAGAAAAATGTACAATTAACAAATTTTATTGAAACACACATTATAGAGTTTACAATCATAATCAGCAGTACAATGCGCCATATACAGTCAAACATCATTGTATCGGAATTGAAGGAAATTACTTTAGTTTTCCACAACTGCAAAATGATGCCTTCATAAGGCAGATGCAGGGACCAAGCTTTTTCTCTGATTTTGTTAAGTGGACTTACATGAAAGTTTTATCCAATGATGTTGGACTGTATGTGCCACCAGCCATAAATATCAGGCCCTAGTAGAGTCACTGCTCCCAGTAAAGTCCACAATGTGAGACAGTTGGTTGTCCTGAATGATGCTAATGCTCTGTTCTGGAATCTAGGATCCAGGGTGCCGTTCCACAAAGCGTTCGTAGGACCATATCATACGAAATTCTATAATATACTATATAGTTACGACTGTTTTAATGCCATGAACGCTTTGCGGATCAGGACCCAGTTTTGGAAGCGGGCAGAATGTCAGTGTTTGCTCACAGAGGAGAGCTTAATACAGCTGGAAGAGTAATGAAGGTGTCAAGCGCTGGTACCGACACTAATGGATTCTACTGTCCCATCTTTGGAAGTATCACCAGAACACTTGTAATTTATCAGGGTCCACAAAACGTTCGTAGTGCTGCAACATTCATAAGCCTATGACAAACTAATAGAGTTGCCACCGTGTATGAAATAAGGCCCGTCCGAGCTCCCGAGATGACTAGATTTCTGACGGACGGTCTAAATTAACAGCAAGCCAGCCCGATGGTCTGGTAAAAATGTTAGATGCCCCATACATCTGAGTAAATTCACCATATCTTGGTGTCTGGTCTGGTTAAATTCCATCTGGGCTGGTAACATTTTGAAGTTACCAGCCCTTATGTGTTGCTGGGTTTTTGGCTTATTTCATACTAGTGATGTTCCGATGATCGAAAATAATCGAAAATCGATCGAAAGAAGGATTAAAAATGATTTGTTGTTTTTGTATAGCACCCTTGAATGAAGTAAACTAACCATCAAATTTGACGAATATTCACGAACAAACATGCGCTCAACAGCGTAAAGCTATGCCCATTGTAAACTTTTAACCACTTTTATTGTTTAATTACAATTCCAGTGTCATTCTTGCATGTGCATTTCATTGCATGACAGCATTAGTTATAAAAAAACAACATTAATTAGAAAAATAATGTGGAAAACCCTTAAAATTGGTGATTACATTAAAAATTTATATATTTCGATTATAATCGATAATCGTCAACCACAATCCTCTGATAATCGATAGAGGATTTGGTCTCCAATTCCCAACACTATTTCATACACTGGTTGCGACATGTCGTAACCCAGGGTCTTAGTATTTACGAGTGCTTCAATCAGCTGCCACCAGCAATTAGAGAAACAACCCAATAGTATTTGTAAATAAAACACAACAACCAATAAAACAAGTGTTACATACAGTAAACTACGTTTTTAACCAAAACCTTATAACGAACTGATGGGTTTAACAAACTGTTTTTGTTTTGTTTTAATGTTTCTGTGCCTTGCTCTATATCATAGTTAAAATGTGTACAATGAACTAGGTTATAAGAAAATAATCTATAAATTAGAGGTCCTCCTGACTTCATCGTAATCGTTGTTTATTGTACATGTATATAAAACACACCAACCAGTGAGATAAAAATGTTGTGCTTTGTTAATATTTCACACATATCAAACTACTATCTGCAAAACCATACTCAGGTGGTTAATAGTCTTGCTATAACATCAAATATGAAACTCAACTTTTCATAAGGATCATTAGACATGAATATATTACATAAATAATAAGAAAGAAAAAAGAAATCCGTCCTTATTAAAAGTTGAGTTGTATATAATTAGCATGACTCATGTCTTTACCACATTGTCCATGGCAACACGTTTCTGAAGACCTGGTTAATGCATTGTCAAGGCTATAATTGGTGTACAACTGAACAGCTACCAGATACACGAATAAAGACTGTCCTATTATTCTGTGTTTCCAATCTTCTGCCCACCCTGAATTTTCATTCTAACGTGAAATAATTAACACTTTCTATTCTCAATTTTCCCCAACGATGTGAAATACAAAAATACTCTTGTACGCTCACTATAAAAAGCCAGGTCATCTTTCTTCATCGAAATTTTTGAAAGGCAAGTTTCCAAAGCAAAAGCCCACCTCTAGGATTTGATAGACATAATTTAATGAAGGGATAAGTTTAACCAAAAGGTTTCACCAGAAAATGTGTTAAAACAATGTCATAACCAATCGAAAAGATTTCACAAACAAAACAATCAATTATTGATTTTGAAGGTGCAAAACATAATCTGAAACTTGTAACAAAAATTCCCAAATCAACAAAATGTACCAATCTGTGAAATTGTTGCTGGACTAAATAGCTCATAAACGTCACAAAAATATGCCATTATGCTATATCAAATTTGAATTAAAAGGGAAAAAATGTCATATATTTAATTTCATAAAAAAAATTCAAAGATGTATATAGGTTTTAATCTAGTATGTGAACTAGTCTACATGATTGCAAGAAATACCACATTTGAAAACATGGTCAACAATAGAATTAAGTCAAATATACTCATACCAAAAATGGTTGTCACCTCCTCCACCCCTGCTAAAAACACCACCATCACCCACCCACCCCATCTTTGTACATACACATCTGGTTTACTTTTGCAAAACTGAGGGATAGCTTTTCAAAATATGAAAAAATCTTATATTGAAGATATATTTTTTTTTCTGAAAATATCCTAATCAATACCATACACATATCTTTATTATACATTATCTCCTAAAATTTTAGCTGCATACCATTTCTAAATTTTCTAAAGCTTTTAAAAAATGTTTTGGATTTGTGTAGATTTCAGGATTCTTCAAATCTGACATTGAGTGCAATTCCCTATTTTGATGTGTACCATATGTTCCTTATAGACTAAAATTGACTTGCTTTGGCATGTGTTTGTGATGGTGCAACAGGTGGAAGATGATATGCCCACTTTCTGCAAACTGATATCACTATTTCATAATGATTCATAAACACATGCTTATGACATAATCCTAATCATACAATTTACTCTGCTATTAGTACAGATTTCTTATGATTACAGAAATGGTTTTCTTCCCTTCTATGTAGAAACAATACTTTAATAATGATAATAATAATAGTACATTTCTTTAACACATATCTCCATACACAATGTATGCTTGAAGTGTACCAAAATGTTCAGTGGGAGAGTTCATCAGAATAGGCAAGTTGAAAGAGATGTTTTCAAATGAGACTTAAGATCTGATGATACTCTGAAGATTTAATGTCAATAGGAAGACAGTTCCACTGATGTGCTGCTGAAAAAGCAAGACACCATTACTGACACCATTAACTTTTGGAACACTGAGAAGCTAAGATATAAATCCAGGTCGCGAGCAGGAGTGTCGAGATCACTCAAACCCCTCTGCAGCATATTTCATCTAAACCTGTAAACCATAAAAATAATATTAATAACAATTTTTAAATATATATACATTTTCGAACAGTGAAAGATCTTGTGTAGATAAAGGAGTTTTAACCAGAAGAAATATCGTGACTCATCTTTTAAATGTATACAATATAAAATATTTATATTTGAATAGAAGTATTTGAAACACTTAAAATTACATATGATATCTAGCTTCATTTTAAAGGGCTAAATTGATACACAGAGTAAAACTGACAGAACGATAGTCTGAAATTTCATTTATTGCCATTTGTGTAGTCAACGTATTGGTGTAATATCTTTGGTTCAATCCCAGAGTGCCAACATCTAAATCAGCAGCAGGCACACTGAAAACACTTCCACCACTATTTATGTACATGATGAGGTGAGGTGAAATTAGGTTTAACGTCATGCTTGAGAATATTTCGCTCATATGACGACGTGCATGCGTGTGTATGTGTATGTGCGGCTGCTTGTACTAGCCCAGACTGAAGCTGGTTTTATAGTGCTAGCCCACTGAGATACCATGCCGCAGTGAAGCATGAATACCCCACTCAGACACATTATACTTACTCCAAGCCAACCAGTCCTTGTTGTACCCATAATGCCGAGCGCCAGGCAGGGACCACCAAGTACCATATTTTAACGTCTTTTGGTATGATACGGTCGGGGATCGAACCCGCGACCTTCCGCTCTCCGGGCGGACGCTCTAACTACTACACCACGGAGGCGGTCATTTATGTACATGGACTGAACCAGTATTGTTGGGACATATTTTGGGCTAAAAGAAAAGCCTCTGGATTAAAGTTTGAAATTTGTTTAATATCTGCTTCCCAAATCAAGTCTGGTTGTCTTGTATTGACATCAATTATTAAATAATACGTAAAAATATAATTTTACAAAATAAAATAAAGCCAGACCAATTTTACTTCTTGTTTTACGGATTTCTGCTGTCAGAAAACAGGAGGCAGGAGGCAGAAGGGAAATTGTTTTTTTCAAATATCACCAGTCAAAGTAATATTCTTTTTAAATTCTAAAAGTATTTCACTTTTGGCAATTTATGAAGTGTATATGGGGCAAAAAACAATCTAAAACAAATTTTCATGTAACTTTACATTTATGGCCCAATAAAACATAAGAATTTATTTTTTGAGTGGGTAAAATTATTTTTTATTTGTTTTCCTATTCTTGAAAAAATACGACCGGCAGCTTCGTAAAACAAGAAAAAAAATGGTCTGGCCTAATGTACACAACAAATATGGAACCATTCACATCAATTAACTTTATTTAAGATAAACACAATTCATGGTTTAATTAATTGTTGTTCAAACAATCTAATGACATGGATCGTTTCAATCACAAATACTTCAAGTATTTTGTTTACTATTTTTCATTCAATATGCCCATGTATATCCATTTATCATCCAAAATTGTGTTCAACAGGAGATATCGCTTGTGTGAGATCAAACGATATCTCCTAGGAGATATTGTTTTGACAGTAGATTTTGTACAATGCCCTGACAATGCTATGACGTCATGTACTTGATGACATGACAATGCTATGACATCACTGCACTGCAAGGCTAATGACAGTAACATCTTCAGAGATGTACATATTTCATTGAAAATTAATGAAGGGTGATTTTGAAAGATAAACAGAATCTCACCCCCGTGTCTTCTGATATCAATTATATCAACACTCGCTGATAAAGTAAAAATATCCTCGGCAAGCCTCGGATATTTGTAACTTTATCAACTCGTGTTGATATAATTGATATCAGAAGACACTTGGGTGAGATTCTCTATATCACAGCTGCAACAGGTAAGTCACATTCACTTGGAATCAGTGTAGGTGGTAAAAACTCTATACAAGTACCACTATTTATGTATACTGCAAATAACACAACTAATAACTACAACCTGTAAATCTTCACAGTCATCTTCAGCTTCATTAGGACTTCCCCATTCTATTTATAGATGCTTCCACCAATTCACTGATTGTCCAGCATCTGAAGATACTGCCTGTCTGTTGATTGGCCATTTTGTCCACTTCTTTAAATTTCCTTTCTAATGTCCTTACGCATTCTGCATGAACTCTAATGGAGTGAGGCCTCTTCACAACAGCTTTCCTTCCATCATCTGACTCACGCAATGAATTCATCATCATTCAGAACTTTACAGGCTTTACTTGAAGCCCAGTGGCTGGACAGCCTAAAACCGATGCCCGGCAAGTGCCCCTATTTCTGTGTAGTGGCACTTTCACAAGCACCACTATTCCATACTGACATGGTCCCAGTAACAGGTGAGCCAGGCTTCCCAAGTGCCACTAATCTTGCAGAGAGTTGCTTCCCTGACCCAGACTTACAAAGAACATGTTTATAATCACCCTATTCGTGCTCTTGGATTTCACCAAAGCAATCATTGTCCAAAAACTGTATTTCTTCAGAATTACTCCTACATAAGCTGTTGTACGCTTAGTCTGTTTCCAAGGTAAGTATGTAATATCAAGGGATTTCGAGATCAGGTTGGAGGGTGTTATTAAAAATAATACAATAGTCCTATGATTATGCAATATCTCAAGTGTGATCTCCATGGTATATCTTCAACGTGAATATGTACAAACTATAATCACATATTGTGTAAATCATATGTTGATGCTTCACATACATGATAAATGATTTTCTTTGAAATCATCGCCCTAATAGTCACAAGTATTGCTTGAAGTGATTGTTCAGTTTTCTCCTTGCATTTCTTTCAAAGTTTTCCATTTCATCATCCATGTGGTCCATGCCGGCTGCATTCCTAATACCAGTCATCCCATTCCGAAAATCATATACCCAGTCTTCTGAGGGTGACCTCCTTACCCACGATGGACGAGGCAGAGGAAAACTTGGAGTTGTGGCTGCTGATGCCCCATCGGTATCTAGATCTTCTGGTGAAGGCCTCTCGGTCACAGTCAACTCTCTCACATCCTCATCCAGTCCCGTATCACAAGCTAAGTCAAATGCCAGCTTTTCTTCCTTGTTCTTCAAGAACTTGTCAGCTTCAAGCTCCAGCAAGACCTTAACATTGTTACATACAAAGGAAACCCTTCTTGTGCATATCTTGTGTAGCACTGTGTTTCCATCGAGGTCCGTGCTGTTGATATCTGCTCCATTTGCTATGATGTCTTTCAAGGCATTTGAGTCCAGAATATCTAGTTTTGTGCAATATGTGTGCAGGAGTTCTTTTATGACCGTCTCACCATGTTTCTTAGCCAATGCACAAGAGGTTTGTCCTTGTTTGTTAGGAGAATCAACAGGACATTTCAGTTTGATAAGTACTTCCATACAAGTTCTGTAGTGTTCACTCAGTTTGGGCATAGCTGAAAACAGCTTGTGAAGTGCAGTATTTCCCATGGAATCCTTTGCATCAATTGGTATTCCGCTTGAATGAATAAATCTTATAAGACCTGCACAATGGGGAGTCATTCCTTCAGCCACTTTATGTAAAGCACTTTCCCCTCCCTTGTCCTCTGCACACAGATCAGCTCCATTTGAGATGAGGAACCCAATAATGCGATCAGTGAACTCCCCCCTGTGTTGTGGCAGCCAGGTGTATCATAGTCAGACCATCGGCAGTGGTTCGGTGTATGTCAGCACCTTTCTGAATCAGCCTCTCCAGGACACCGACAGTGTGTTGTTCATCACACTGTACAAGTCTTTGAAGCATCAGGGACAGGCTGTCACTGTTAATGTGATCACATGACAGTAACTTCTCCAAATCTTGGACTTTGATGTCTAGCTTACATGCTCTCATGAGTGCTTTCATAATCATCAATTCATTCAAATCATTTACTCGGTTCCTTATCACTATGTCCATGACGGTATCATCGGCAGAATTAGCTTGAGTAAGATCATCTCCAGCATCAATAAGGATTTCAGCAACTTCTTTCCTCCACTGCCCTGAAGACAGGCATACTTTGTGTAGAGGGGTGTCCCCATACTTGTCACCAGCAGACAGCATTCGCTGGACATCTCTTGATTCAGGACTTGTATGAAGATGCTTAAGAAGAACTCTCAGCACAGCTGGACTGTATTTGGAACATTCAATGCAGCAGATATGGATTGGTAAGTGTGTGTGCATATTCTGACTCCAAATATCTCCTTTGCAAGACAGAAGAAACTCTGCAACCAGTGAACTGCACACTCCTCTTGATACACAGGCATGATGCAATGCTGTCATTTGTTCTTTGTCTGCAATACTGACGTCTGCTCTCTGTGGTTTATTGATAAGTCCCTGTACAAGCATCTGAGCAACTTCCACGCTTGTGCCATGTGACACATTGGAGACTTTATGCAACGGAGTTTGCCCCTTGTTATCTGTCGAGTTCAGATTTGCACCTAATTTCATCAGTGCTTTTACAACATCAGATTTATTTTCTTTGCTCACAGCATGATGCAAAGCTGTTTCACCTTGCAAATCTTTTGCATCTACATCTTTACATAAAAGTTCTGTTATTTTCCCATCACAGCCATTTTCAGCGTAGCAATGTAGTGGTGTCTGTCCTTGCTGATTTGTCTCTTTGTATGTTAATCTATAACCTGTTCTCGGCATCAACATCTTGATGACTTCATCGTTACCTGTCCTGCATGCAAGATGAAGTACTGTGTTGCCCTCAGCATCAGCTGTCTTTACATCCACATTTCTCTTCTCAAGAAGGAGCCTTAAGACCGCTGTGGTCCCTGTCGAAGCGATGAGAGTATGGAGTGGAGTTTGCCCTTTTCTGTCTTTCATGGTCATAGAATGAATGTCAGTTTTCTCCACCATTTTATATTCATCTTCATCCTGCATCAAGAACTGAAGAATGGATGCCATGATACCATTTGAATTCATGCAAAGCAAATGGGCAGGAGTTTGTTTGTCATTGTTTTGCACACTGGCGATATGTGAGTTTCTGGGAATTTCATTTTTAGCCCTGACAAGCTTCTCAACAACTGGTTTGTTGATGAATCTTCCCTTCAGATGAACATGCAGAGGGGTATTTCCATGTTTATCTGGAGCCTGTGTATCAAACCCTGCCTTCAGTAACTGTTCCACACATGTCACATTCCCAGTGACACATGCTGAATGCAGAGCAGTAAAACCATCAATGTCAGTGGTGGTGGTGTCCCAGGTCTTCACCGTGAGAAGCCACGTGAGAGTGTCTGGTTTGTTAATGTGAGAAACACTTGCAGCAAGATGAAGAGCTGTCTGGCCTGTTTCAGTAACTCCATCTAACACACTGGGGTTTCTCTTCAGAAGGACCTCTGCTGCACCCTTTCTATTAAACTTGCAAGCTGCAAGAAACATCTCTTCCAGGTTTGTATTGCATGGTTTTTCATCCGATGTTGCATGGTCTCTCTGCTCCAGGAGATGTGTGATGATTTTCTCATTTCCACCTTCACTGGCACTTACTAACAGGCTTGTCCAGTTGGGACTTAATCCATCACAGCTAACTGCGTTGTATTTATCAAGAGATCCAAGTTTGCAAGCCACCTCAAGGGCGCTGACGATCAAGTCATGTCTGCCTTTTCTACCTTGGAGATTTGTGATGAAGGTTTTTACTGCATCAATATCTCCATGTGTTATGACAATCAAAATCCATTCCTTCAGTATGTCAGGAGAGAGGTTATAAAACTGGTTAACAAGCTCTCTTAAAACTTTGTGGATAATTTGTGGACATTTACCCACCTTGCAAGCAGCCATGCAGGGAAGGTTGACCTTTGCACCCACACTAAGCAACAGGTCATAAGCTTCTTTGTTGCCAGCCTCACAAGCTCTTACCAGAGCCAGATGCTTGATATACTCTCCACTCCCAGGCAGAGTCCTCAAGACGTTCAGTACAATCTCCTCTACCAATGGAAAATGCTTTAATGATATGGCTTGCAAAAGAACATCCTTGTAATTTGTAACTTTCTCCTTGAGTTTCTTCTTAATGTTTCTCACAAAGTCTCGTGAATTAAATCCTGAAAATTTTAAAGCATCCATGACACACTCCTCTTCCAAGAGCCTTCTGATCAAGGGTTCTTCAAAATAAACATCTATGGCGAGTTTATCTGTGTCTTCGTCTTCACAGTCTTGAATTACTGTTTTGTGGATGAGAAAACTGAGGGGCACCATTCAAGCATGTGTTCTTCACTTTTGAAAACAGTACTTGACACACTGCATCAGTGACTGATTCATGAATAACTGTATATCTTTTGTTTGTGCAAATCAAGTACTCTCCTATCATACCTTTTGCTGCTTCCTGAATCTTCCCCAGTGAAATGCCTTGTATGTCAAGTATCTTGTTTAAATTTTCAAAAAATGGTTGTGGAGATTTGGGTGATCTTGGAGGCCTATTCTTGGCTTCATATAAGAAACCATCTTTCACAATCATTACAAGTGCAGCAAATTTCATCTGTTCATTTTCGGCCATGTGTTCAAGCTGCTGAATGAAGGAACCAACTGGGTTCTTTAAGCTTGTCACTAGCTCTGTGCCCTTTTAGAGCCACTTGACTCAATGGCCATGAAGAACCAGGGTGGTCAGTTAACTTTGCAATCTCCTGAAGTGCCGCCTCTTGAGAGCCCTCTGCTGGTCCTAAAGATTTGACTGTCTGTGGCTTTAATTTCTGTTTCAAAATTTCATATCGTTCATGTTCTTGCAAAGGAAGGTCTTGTAGAGTCACTGCATGTTGGGAGTTCTTCCCCTGACATTTAAGCAGAGTAGATTTCTCCAGCTTTGGCAGGTTCCTTGTTGAAATGCTTATTATGACATGAGCTGCACCTCTGCTAGCAAGTTCCACTGCATCAGTTAAGTGGGTATCAACTTCATCATGCCTCTTAAAGGGAACATCAATGAAAATGACGAACGCTTCAGATTTACCATCCTTTTTAACATCTTCAAGTCCAGTCAGATCTGTAATACATTCCAAATCACCTTGATTCTGGATATAAAGTGGGATGTAGGACTGATCAAAGGTTTTGAGAATGTACAGCCCCAGTGATGTCTTGCCACATTTTTCAGAGCCTTTAAGTAAAACCCAGCCACTTTTCACACACTCCATTGCAGACTTGGCGGCTCTGGTTTCATAGTACGAATCCCTTCTAAATTTGTCAAGTTTTCGCTTGGTCTGCACTGAAACGGGAAATACAGGTCACATCAAGACCAACCCATAAAAATACAGTTGGTTGCTTGTTGTTTAACTCTGCACTCAGCAATATTCCAGCTATATGGCGGCTGTCTGGAGTCTGGACCAGACCAATCCAGTGATCAACAGCATGAGCATCGATCCACGCAACTGAGATAAGATGACATGTGTCAACCAAGTCAGCGAGCCTGACCACCCGTTCCATTCGTCACCTCTTACGACAAGCATGGGTTACTGTAGGCCAATTCTAACCCAGATCTTCACGGGACTTAAAACCACTGAGCACTGGTCAATATATTTAACAAAACTGACATTTTATTGACCATGTAGTATTCATACCCTAAAGACATTGATAAACTCAATATTGAGCAAATGTGTGGCACTCTCACTCGCACTGGCCAGTCTTATATTCAGGACAACTGACAAGTATTACTTATGTCAGTGGGATGTGTACTGAATACAGATGCAGTGTGACAGTTCCAAACATGAAAATGACACAATGCGGAATGGACTCGTCCTAGGCTACGTTTCTGTATTATGATTTTGGCTAGGGTATGTAGTACGCCTTCAGCTTTAGTGAAAACCTACTGTAACCAGGATTCCTGACAGAGAGGGGCATGCATACGTACACAGACACACATACACACACACACACAGACACACAGAGAGACAGGCACACACACAGACACACATACACAAACAGATTGAAATGGTAATAAATGTACAATACAACAATCAAATATACATATTTTGAGTGTTCACACTGTAATGTCAAGTTTTCTTAGCGGTCATCAGTTCAACTCATTAGAGTTATCTCCCTTGTAGACCGCGTGCTTGGAGCGCGTGCAAAATGTGTGCGATGGGATGTTTGTGAATTTCCAAGTCATGGTGTACTCTCTGATGCATCATAATGTTGCACGTATTCTACAATTCCAACGTAAGAAATCTGTGTCGTTGTGACTGTGAGGTCTGCTTACAGTTTGTGCGATTTGAGATATGAGTTGATTGAACTGCAGTATCAATGTCAGTGTTTAAAATTCCCAAAATTACACACCAGACAGACGTACTGATAACTTAAAAAAATTACCAGTCAGGATAAAAACTTGCCTGTCCGGTTTTCAACAATGAAAAAAGAGTTTTCAGAATACTTTTACTGCTTGTAGGCATCGCAATGAACAACATAGCACTAACAGGCATGCATCGAGTTTAGGTAAACTGAACGTACATCAGCCTGGTTCCTGTTGTTGCGCTGCGCTAATGTTCCGACACTGACCCAGGCAACCACATTCGTCACAGTTCGCCCTTTCCGTAACCTCGCTATTCAGCTTGTCCCGGAATAACACAAGTGAGTAACGAATGCAGCAACCACAGAGTCGGAGTGTTAGCACAGGCGCAACAGACCCAGGGAACCAGGATGAAAGTACATGTGTTCTGATTGGTTCTTGTAAAATGAACTGTCCAATCGTAAATAGTTTAACATAATTATCATAATACCTTAAACACCTCAAACTGACGACAAGAAAACCTGTCTGATATTATAAAATATTTACTGTTAAGGGTAAAAACATCTACCAGACTACCGGACAGGCTACTTCTGAAATTTGACTGTCCGGACGGTCGGGCAGGCGGGAATTTTAAACGCTGTTAATGTGCGAATTCAGAATACAAATTTTGCTCGACTCTTATCTCTCATGTTGTTCTTCGAATCATGAAACTTGGAAACACTACACACACATATTCAGATTTAAAACATATAAAATCCACCTATAACATATACAGAAAGTTATATGATTAACTAAACAAGAAAGGTGTTTATTCATGACAAAAATAAATAGAAACAGCTCTTTTCCTGAATTCACATATGACCCATTTTAACTTTACCAAATAGATAACAGTAGAAAATTGACAAACTTTATGGATAACAACTTTTTATATTTTGTGAGTTCAACATTTGGATACAGATTCTTGTACTGTTGTCAAGCGGGAATGTGGTCCACAGATATTTTCTGCGATGGCCTTGACCTTCAGTGTCACCAAAACACAAGTGAGAACAATACTGAGTGCCAGACGAACATGAAAAATGATTCCTCAGAAACGAATCAGAAATTTCATGAAATTTGAAGCATGATGCATAATTTGACCTCTAGTGACCTTGACCTTTCCAGACCCCGTCCTCATGTCATACAATGGTAATAAGAATTGGCAAATTGGATTGGGTACTCAGGCTTGCTGACTTGGTTGATTTATGTCATTTTATCCAAATCACATTGATTGATGTTCATTTGATTGATAACAAATACATAATACATACTGGTCACAGCAGTTTACAACTTCACTGTTTTAATGACCTAGTTTCCATGATGTTTAGGGGACCTAATGTTATCCAGGGGTGCAAAAAAATACCCAGTGAGTGAGGGAGTATGGTTTTATGCCGCTTTTAGCAATATTCCAGCAATATCACGGCAGGTGACACCAGAAATGGGCTTGTACCCAAGTGGAGAATCGAACCCGGGTGTTCAGCGTGCCACGCGGACGCTTCAACCATTAGGCTACCCCACCACCCCAAAGGTGACATTGACAATATGCCCTGGTATAAACAAATATATAACAATAAATTCCGGTGAGTCAAGAAAAATACTTTTAAACCCAAAAAACTTCTTTTTCAATACATCTAAAAATTAATTTAAAAAAGAATGGTTGCTCTAAAAAACGGATATACCTGTCAATATATTCATATTTATAAGATTTAATGAAACATACCCTTTATCTTGTCCAATCGGGTAACCACAGGAGCTGAAAGCATGATCATATGAGCCTTCACTGTCTTGAGCAACAGACAGTTGTTTATGTTTCTCACTGATTGGCTGGAAGCCACTGAGTACTTTTGATTACTGGGTATGAACACTTATAAAACTGTAGTCTTAAATCAAAATGAAATTTTAAAAAGAGAAAAAGGAATGGCCATTACTGATTGTTGTCAGATATGTGATTAAAAACATCAGTGGTGTTCCTAACTAGATGGCTGAACCAGTTCCGATCATTTTCCTGTGACTTTCAAAATTTTGATAAATATAAGTCCTGAAGAGCTCAATGATAGTATCATCTATATCGATGTAAGTATCTTCTACCAAGATGAAAAGACTTTCTACGAAGATGAAAAGAGCTTCTATGTAGATGTAACGATCGTCTATATAGATGATAAAATATTTTTTAGATTATGTCACTAATCCGTTTTTATACTTACTGTTCTGGTTGATCACTACCTTCTGACCGACTACAGTATTAGGACAATTTGCCAATTTGACCTGTCATCTCTCCTATTCTAACATCCCCTGTATATTGCGCTGAAAAGTGAGTCAAACGTTCATGTAACATCAGTGTTACTTTATCATACAGCTATGGAAGATATTGCCTATCAAGACACAGTCAAAACAAACCTAAGATCGTGATCTGGTTAATGTTCTGTAAATGTAGCAATGATGGCAATATAGTATGGGTGACTATTGAGGGGGGAACAGCTATTGCGATAGCGATATTCTATTGCGACCAAGTATTGCAATACTGTAGTTTTTTTTCTCCTTGAATTGTCTCATTTGAAGTCATTTCCCATATGAATGTATAGTTTATATGAATAAAAACAAGTTGAAGTAGTTTCTGTCTCTTTTAATAACTGACAATAAACTTGAAATCTAGATCAAGTAAACAGTTAAAACATAAACTCAATGAAGCTGCAAGTCTGCTCATTTATCAACGAAAGTCAATTACTGAACTATCTATAGTCACACATACTATCGATGCATCGATAGTTTTTGGCTTAAACCATTGATTAATTGCTATTGGAGACTCAACAATTGCAATGCATCGATAGTGCATCGTTACAGCCCTACAATATAGGTCTGAGAAACAATTCAAAGTAGTATTTATGTATTATATTTCTAAAACAACCTGGTATGGACAACAAGTTAGTGAAAATAACGCAGCCCCAAAATGTTGAAATCATAACATGTGAACCTACCGATAGCATTCTGGTTCAAGTTCTGTAATCTCGCCATCTGTGTGCCACTGAAATATATTCATTGTTGATGAAATGTGACTTATTAAGAAAAGTCTCCACTGAAGAAGAAATACATCTGACATGGCCCTACTATCAGTACACCATATCCTGTTTGTGTGTTTGCTTCTAACAGACTGACGACAGACTGTAAATACTCAAGTCTGGACCAGACAATCCATCGACTGACATCGTGAGCATCAGCCTAAACAAACTGGATGCGACGACATGTGTTATCCAAGGCACAGATCCGAACAACCTGATCCTGTTAGTCGCATCTTACAACAAGCATGGGTTGCTGAAGACCAGCTCTAACCCAGATCTTCATAGGATCCACATGAGTGAGTGAGTTGAATGTACTTTGGACCATGCAAACCAGTGGTTGACAGGATTGACAACAATGTGTTTATAAACATATGTAGTATACATAAAGCATCTAAACAACAATGAACATTTGTAATGCCTCATTTAATTGTGATGACATATAGATAATTAAATCTAACAGTATATTCAGTAATTTTATCATCTATAATTTTATCATCCATAATTTTATCATCCGTAATTTTATCATCCATGATTTTATCATCCATAATTTATTCTCCATATTTTTATCATCCATAATTTTATCATACATTATTTTATCATCATGTTGCAAATCAGAATTGACACCTAAAGGCAAATTCCAGTTACAAGACGTACAATTTTGCCCATAAAGGACATACCTGGATGAAGGCATTTCCATGGTACTATCTGTAAAGAAAGAGATTTTTATAGAGTAACTGAGAGTAATGATACAGGCACTTTCTGGAGTTGTTGTACTTGAACTAGAAAGTATATTCTGGAAAATATGTCAGAAATTTTCGTTTGAAATATCCCAATCAACATTTCCGGTTGAACTTGTACCAGAAATGATATTCTTGAAAATGTCTCAGAATTAAAACACAATCAACATTTTTAATAAATAAGAGCCTTTTTAAGGCCACAAATTAATTGTTAAAGTTTCTTTCAAATTTGTTATCAAGTTGCAGGCAAGTTACTTTTATGATTTAATATTGTTAACAAAGTGTTCTAAACATCTTCGTACAGTAACTGTTACTAGATGAATTCTTTTGGTACGTATATGCACATGATGTATTTCACAAACTAAGGAACCTAGGGAGACATAGAGAAATCTTCTTCATCAGGCGGTACCTCGGGACAACAAATTATGTCTGTTATCCTGATACACACGGATCTTAGTGCTAAGACAACTGTAACTCCCATTGATTAACTAAGATCTAGACTTACAACAGTGATTGCGCTAAAATCTTTGTGGAATGGAGTCCTGGATGTTTGGTACTGAGTTGGGATGGAAAAAACCCTTATATTTAAATATGTAGATTAATGTTTACCTACAATCGTGTCGGCAATCAGAGAGCTGAGTCTTTAGCAAAATTGAACAGTATTCAGTTCAGTTTCATTATAATATATCTAGAAGCATGGATATGGAGCAGACAAACCAAGGAACATAACTGGGGCTAATCTGGGATTCAAACTCATGACAGGTGAATTAAGGCATGACTTATAATCTACTGCATGATATTCTGGGTAATGGCCAGTGGTTGGGGTACACCAAAATTTGGTCATCTAAGTCCATACATGATTCATTCATGCACACAGAAGAACACATTCGATCCCGGAATCTCCTCAGAAACCTCTCAGATTATACACATTGGGTATGGAATAACCTTATAATACCTTTAGGATCTACAGGTGAGCTTGCATTCCTTCCTTTCATCTGTTCATCATCGGAACCATCGTCCTCCAGGTCTTTTATCTTTACATTTGACCTGGAGAAGATAAATATCAATGGTAACAATTCATAATTCCAACATACGCTATTCTATAAACAACAAAACATTTTAACATTAATCAGTTCATACAGAAACAGTGTCCAATTAAGTAAGTCATTTTATTCACGTTTTTCTAGGCCACAGGCCCACAGTACAAAAACTTTTCAATAGTGTGATTACAAATGAAGTGATTCATACAATTTCATAGCAAAATATATGTATTTAGACAAATTCACAGAAGTAAGTTGATGATTTGAAGACATAAGTCTAACAAATGTTTCAAATGAGGGGTTACTATAGTATTAATACTGAATATATTGCTTTCTTTAGTCGGAGAAGGCACAGAAGACAAGGATAAAATGGTACTCGTTTTCGACAAGCTGGATATTATATCGAAGGCAGTATCTGCATAAACGGTTCTTGATGTCTATGCCCAATCATCTCCCCATTTCGATCATTAGCTGGTGGCAGCCACATCTGAATCTGGTTAACGCTTGCTTCAATGGAGGGGAACTGATTTGTGAGGGATAAGATTCCGCATGCAGAACTGTTTTGTAAGTTGAATAAGCTGTCAACTTGGAGTTGGATGATAAGCCTGCCATCATTGAATGTTGTAGTCAGACACTCTTTGTTTGAACTCAGACATGACAATATCAATATGTCCAACATCTTGCTTAACCAATGCGTACCCGAATCCGAACTAGAATAAGATATGTTTGATATTTTGGCCCAAGAATATCTGTTAACGTTGTCTAATCCATATAGCATAAGATAGTAGAGGTATGACGATACAGAAATTTCATGATACGATACGTATCGCGATATCTTGGAACGATACGATTCGATTCGATGCATATCACGATGTGCTTTCTTTAGTTATTTTCTTTACAAAATCATATTTTAATAGCAAGAAATTTTGACATAACCGTCAATATCTAATGAAAATTAACAATTTTAAGGTCAACGATACATATCACGATACGAAAAATGTATCGATATATTTATCGTCAGATAAAAGTATCACGATTATCGATACTACGATATATCGTCACAGCTGTATTAAATAGGTTTGCTTTGGAAATCTGTCGTAATTTATGTTGATTATTTTGGCCCAATATTTAACACATTTAGTTACATAAGAAACATATAATAGAGGTCGTCCACTTTCACCAAGCACTGCATCATTGCAGGTTGTCAAAGGCAGATGTAGAATTGTTTTGATGAACTTTGTCTGTACCCTCTCAATTTGTTCTACCACCTCATATCCCAAAGAGCTCGGCGCCGTATGTGTAAAATATTGGTAGGACCATGCTGTCAAAAATCCTCATTGCAGTGGTGATCTGTAATCCGCCACACATATAATGAAGTCTGTATATGTGCAGACAAGTCCGAGATACTTATAATACGAGACAGTTTCTATTTGGGATCCCCTGTAGTACCATTGTTCATATGAACATAAATATCCACCTTTACGGAATACAACGATTTTTTTTTTCTGCATATTCCAAGTGTCCAATTAAAGTTAAATGTGTAAGGTGAAATATAATAATGATATAATTAAAGTCTCTTAAATCTCAGAGTTCAAAAGCACTAGTGGTTAGAGTTGAGAAGTGATGACAGCGGAGTTTTAGAGAGAGTAACAAGAGATCATTCATAATGTATGGCCAGGTGTGTGTGTGCGTGTGTGTGTGTGTGTGCGTGCGTGCGTGTGTGTGTGAGTGTCGTCGAACCCCCTGAACCCCACCTTGGCTCTGCCATTGCAAAACAATAACTTCAATGTGGTCTTTAGTCATTTTCAAAAGGTGGGGTGGGGGGCCGGCGGTTTCAACCCGCTGAACCCCCTCTGGATCAGCCACTGATTCACATTGTACATGCTTCTCTATAATAAATCACAAATTTCTGGAAACTGCAAATGATTGACCGGGTGCTTTGGATTTTACGCAGCTTCTAGCAATATACCAGGAACATCATGGCATTGGGCACCAGAAATGGGCTTCACACATTAAAGTTAACGCTTTTAACCACTAGGCTAGCTTAGTTTTCAAAGCAAATCAAATTTTGTTATCAATTTTCTTATGGCAAGCATTGCATATTATGATCTGTTGAGTGTTTTTACTTTCAACTTTTATGCTCATTTATTTTTTTATAAAACATGACCCCAAATTATTATCATCTGTATTTTCCTGCTGCATTTAGCAATTTGGTGATGAAGGTGATCTGCTGGATATGAATTGTTCTAGCTCAAACTGATAAGGAATAAGCAGAGAAGTTGCAAAATTCTTACATTTTGGTTTTGTCAGGATTCCTTCATTCAATCTGTGCTGAGCGATGTTTCTTAGACACAGGTTAGCTTTCCTGACCCCTTTATAGACATGCAATCTTTTTTCTTGCTCTTGAAAACAAACAGAAGATGAACAGTGAAATGTCATTTCCCAAGCCAGACCAATGTTATTTCTTGTTTTACGGATCCGTTTCGATCAGATTTTTCACGAATAAGAAAAATAAAATAAAAATTCTGCTGAAAAATAAAAATCTAATGTTTTCATTGGCCAAAAATGTAAACTTACGAGAATTTGTTTTAGATTGTATTTTGCCCCATATACACTTCTGATAAATTGCCAAAAGTAAAATACTTTTTGGTATTTAGTAGAGGAATATTACTTTGACTGGTGATTTTGATTTTATATTGTTTTTACCTCCAGACGTTATGTTTTCTGAGGACAAAAATCCGTAAAATGAGAAATAAAATTGGTCTGGCCAAAACAATATTTTGCAGACCATTCAGCATGGAACAATGAGTGTGTTTGTCAAGGGTGACCCTGGAAAATGGAGCTACATTATTCTGGGAAAATTTCTTTTAAAATACCAAAAAGAATTTTAAAAAATAAGAAAAAAGGAATACAAAATAATGAAAATAAAAACAACAAACACGAAAGCCAGAGCACAAACACTGAATATGTGGTTTACATATTTTTGGTATTGATGTGTTGTAATTCTATTTCAGCTTTTCGCTTGTATATATTATATGAAATTAGTTGTTAGTTTTATGGAGTATTATCTGTCAGCTTAAGACAGTGTAACACTGTACTACTGTTTATCAGTGTTAAACCATACGTTTTGATTACATTGCACGATTTCTCAACACTAGGCAGAACTGCAGATCAACAAAGAGTGAGTCGTCATCTCAAATCAGGTGAGCTGTATGTCTATTATCCTCTATATTGTTGTTTTTTTTAGAAGTACAGTATGTTTAAAGTGTTTGACAATCTAGTAATACAGGGTGTACATAGGCAGATCCAGAGAGGGAGGTGCAGAGATACACCCCCGTCCACTTTTGTCCTGACAGTTTGACAGTTTATTAAAATGACCATTGAAAGCCTCTTTTAAAAACAGGCAGTATCGAAGTACGCATCCCCCACCCCCACCCCACCCCCTTTCTCAAAAGCTGTATCCGCCCATGGATGTATGCAGTTGATTTGGTAAATAACTTTACTTGTAGCGCCATGAGCATACCAGATGGCGTGGGAGTTTGGCGCGTTACAAATTCACTCATTATTATTATTATTATTATTTGGTTGGTTGGTTGCTGGTTGTTTAAATCCACACTAGGCATTATTCCAGCTATATGGCGGCGGTCTGTAACAACCCAGTATGGAGCCTTAAATCCAGTGATCAACAACATGAGCATCGATCTACTCATATGGGGAGTC